TTTTGACGTTAAGCTGACATTGTTAACAGTGTAAAATTACTAGATTAAAATCAAAATTTTTATGAAATCGATTTAAAATGCCAAGATTTACAGACAGAGAACTGACTGACATGCATTTTGTGTACGGGTTTTGAAATGGCAGTTCATTGGCAGCCGTAAGACAATATCAAAGAAGATTTCCCAATCGCATAGTACCTGGACGTCGAATGTTAACTGATATTCACCGGAATTTGTCAAACCATGGAAGTTTTCAGCGCATACAGGGCTCAGGAAGGCCACTGGGAAATCATCGTATGGATATTGCTTTAAATATGTTTGAAAATAATCCTCAAATAAGCATACGAAATGTTTCAGAAATTATGGATATACCTCGATCAGTAGTAAGAAAAATTTATGAATACCTATTTGATAGTTATCCTAAAATAATAATTTTAGATAGGAAGAATGACAAGAATGCAAGGATTACATCCTTATCATTTTAAACGGGTGCAGCATGTAACGGAGGCAGATTTTTTTACCACGAATCGAGTTTTGCCAGTGGATATTAGCAAATGAAAACACTATTCCTAGAATATTATGGTCGGATGAGTCAATATTTACTAGGAATGGTGCTTTTAATTTCCATAACATGCATCACTGGTCATATGAAAATCCAAAAGTTGTTCGCCGTTCAAATTTCCATCATAGATTTTCATTGAACTTATGGGCAGGAGTAATTGGGGGTGGTTAGGCCGATGAGGTCCTATAGCGTGGCCGCCACATTCACCTGACCTATATCCATTGGATTTCTATTTTTGGGGGTCATTAAAAGACCTAGTTTACTCGACTGAAGTAAATACTCAAGAAGATTTACTCCAAAGAATCCATCAGGCTACAAATGGAGTAAGAAGAAAAATGTTTTCCACTTTTCGGGCTAGGCAATCATTAGTTCGTCGAGAGAGACTCTGTATCCAACAAAATGGGAATTTATTTGAACGCTTATTGTAAAGCTAGTTTTTAAGTATATCCAACTGTATGTCTTCTTTTTTAAAGAAATTTCAATTTCGTTCGTAGAAAAAATGTATTCTTTGGTTTTGCCTAAATGTTAGCTATGTTGCAATAGAAATATGTATTTATGTAATATTTACCAATTATTAAATTAGTTTTTTCGTTGCCATGGCTAATTATTCAGCAATGTATTCAAATTCGCAGTACATCTCCTATCATGTGACAAATTTTTTAGTTTGATTTTATTCAAAATGGCACAATTTATAGATATTAATAAGAGTACCTTTTTTATGTAGAAAACCCTACATTTTGATATTCTAAAATTGAATTTCAAAAATAGAATCACACAAAATTTTTGGGGCTAAAATAACCTGAGTTCGTCCCTGTTACATACGCTTCCAAACAAAACTGTCTAAAATTGTTAATATTTTTAAGTCCAGCATAAAAAACTAGGCTAGAATACCGAATTTTATGTCTTTATCTCAACACGTTTTGGAAATATTAAGGAAAAACCATCTTCAGGGGTGCCCCTTTAAAAGACCGTAGCGCCCTTAGGGGACTTTCGTCCTATTTTAAGCTCTAGAAACCGCTGGTAGAATATTGCATACTTTTTTCGGAAAACCTGTATACCCAGAAGTTAGGAAATTCCTTAGTTGGGTCCCGATCGTCGAACAAGCATAATTACCGAGATAATTCAAAAGTTCCATAGTAGTGGTGGACCCGAAACCTGACAACTAGGACACTCTACTCTACATATAGACCAGGACATGTAGAGTTTTCTGAAAAATGGCGTCAAATAGTTTGACTCTGCGCTTTTAATGCAACGCCGTCATCAGGTTTAGCACAAGTTAGACCATTTGAGAAAAAAAAAAATAGTTACGAGCCTGTATAACAGAGAAACTAGAATGATCAAATTAGTCAATCAAGCCCAAGCGTGGACGGTCCGGTAGTACCGTCAATCTGTCATCGTCGCCGCTCCCCCATACTTGATTGCACGACGCATCAGGCTAGGCAGCGCGGCACTGTGGCGTTGATGCCAGGACACTCATCGAGACGGCGCACCCGCCGGTGAACCCAGAGAGTAGATGCAGAAATGCATATCGAAAACATTTCTATATCATTCAGTTTTAAGAGGAATTATGTGGCAGAATTACGGGAGTTGAGGGTATTGGCAAACTAACATCAAAAAAATTGAAGTATACCCTCCTCCACCCCTGCAATTCCAACCGCCAATTCTTACATCTCGAAAAATGTTTCTGAAAATAAATCAAGGCCTCTAAAATGTTAAAAACGAAGTTTCACCGATTTTTGTTACTATTTCGTTTTATGCTCCTAGTTGCACCGCCAATGTATCGATTGTCAAAATCTGCAAAGTTTATCCGTCCTTGGCATAGTGGTCTCTTATGTGGAAGTATTATCAACATCCAGAGATACTCTCCTAGTCATAGATGGTCCAGGGCGGATCGATAAACCAATAGACAGACCGATGAACATCCAAAAGCGTAATAGTCGATTTTTTTCGCGATTGCATTACTTTCTCGCCAGTGGAATATGAAATAAAATTGTATAAGCGGAGTTTAAACAAAATATATTGTTATACAACAAAGTTATAGGTTGTTCATCTAAAACTTTCCAATTTACCATGAAGATTGCCTAACACAGTTTGCCCATATATTCCAAAAATTGTCAAGTGTTGAGAAAACCGGTTCAGAGGAAAGTTGAGCAGTGTGAAAGGATCTTCAAAGTGAGCCCGTATCTATTTTGCTGGAGTGCTTAATTTCTTATTCCAAAAATCGCCGATTCTCAAACTGAGTTTTTTCAAAAAGTACGTAGCAATACCAATAATGGCCAAAACTTAAAGCATCAGACTCCAAAAAAAAAACATAAATGCGTATCCTTTTCTATGAATATCTATAATTGCCCCTAATTTTTTAGTTTACTATTTTCTAGAGCAATCCAGTGTTGCAGCAAATTGGGCATACTATACGAGGTCTCATATTAAAGGTATTTTCATCCTCTTAACTCTTCTGTAATCCACTGGGCCGATACTACATAGTTTTTTCAATGTACAGCAGAAAGTGATTTTTCCAACTTTGTCGCCTAATAAAAAATTTACCCAGCAAAATTTTTCGTACCTCAAGACAGAAGACCTTTCGATTTACATTCAAGGATATAATTCGGAAACAAATTCCGTCTTACAATTCTTTCTATTTTTCTCTTGTTGAAGAACTAGCTGCAACGAAGCGATGCACCCATTCAATTTTGCACCAATCTGATGCGTAAAACATGCGTGGCTCGAAATGTTACTTCCGAGGCTGGGATTTGAACCCGTGAGCCTTCGATCGGCAACGTTATAATAATAATAATAATAATAATAATAATAATAATAATAATAATTTATTTCCATAAGGTAAATAAGCACTTTGATAGCACAATTGTACAATTAACATCAAGAAAACTATGTACAATTAAAATATTCATTCAGTGAATAAAATGCCTCTTCTATTTTGTAAGCTTCCCAAGTATTTTTGAATCCATGCGTATGTACAGGCAAAGCATTAAAAAATTGTTGAAGTACTATCTGCAAGATGTAATCTAGAGAAATTTCAATGCTGTTCTTAAAATTCGTTCTGGCATATGAAAACCTCGACAGATTTCGACGAGTGAAACCACAATATTATGCTGTATTTATTGTACTATAGATTGCACGTAAGCAAAGTAAACCATTTTCAAAACTTCAGTACTAACTTGATCTCTAATACTGTGTATTAAATAGCAGGCAGAGTTCATTTTCGATAGCACTGCTGTTATTTGTTCTGTCCACTTCAATGAATGGTCTACTTTCACACCTAGAAACTGTGCAGTGTTCGTTTAAATCATGGTTTTTTCCGTTTAATTTCACATAAACTGATTGGTAGAGTCGTTATTGAAGTATACAATGTTCGTTTTATCTATGTTCAAATGTAGTATGTTGTTATTATTTTTGAGACAACTGCTCTATGTTTTTATCAGCTACCATACTCTCAATATATCATCAGCGTACATGAATAACGAAGTTAAGTTAATAGATTTGGATAGATCATTTATGTATATTAAACATAAAATTGGTCCAAAGATTGAGCCCTGTGGAACCCCCATACTTGTTATCGCTTCTTTCGAATAACACAATTAACCATTTTCAGATTTAATACTGACTACTTGAGAACGATTGCTTAAATACGATCTCATTAGGCCATTGGCGATTCCTTTGATTCCATAGGGTTCCAGTTTAAAAGAAGTATCCCATGATTTATCGAATGACAGGCTTTGGATAGGTCAAAGTACACCCCGGTTACTTTTTCACATGTAGATTAGATTCAATAAAAAAGGATAACAGAGTCTATTGTGATTATTCTTTAAAATATTTAGGATAAAATAGATAGTAGAGCAACCAGTCTGTAGTCTTTCAATCCTTTTTCGGATACTGGAATAATTTTATTGGGGAACGTGCCAGTTATCAAACATTCAGCTATGATAACAGATATAGGGTGACAGATAATGTCAGCAACTTTTTTCACTACATTTGTAGGGATCTCATCCATGCCTGTTGAATATTTTGGTGGTAGCTGTCTAATTACATCATATACTTCTTGTGCAGTTGTAGGTTTGAGAAACAGACTTTTCGTACGTAATCTTTTAGTTTAATATTCTTAGGTTGATTATTCCTGTCAGTTCTATGGCTTGTATTAGACAAACGGTCTGCAAGTGCGTTAGCTCGACCATAGTGTTTGAAGTCGGTTACAATCGTCCTGACCTAGCATCTTAATGGCCAAAGGATATCCTGCGCATATCCTGCTAGATTTTGTTATGAAAACATCTTTATTAAAAGGATGTTTCACCTCCGTTATCGCCCTTCAGTTTAGCTTGTTGTATAGCTTAACTAGGTTTTTTATTTTCAGCAATGGATTCGCTCACATAACTATAGGCAACTCACAACATACAGTCCCCGTCTAAGAATTTCAAAGCCAGCCAGGATGACAAAGCATCACCATATTGACGTCGCGGAAACGGTCCAAGATCACCGAAACTTGCTCGACTGGTCGGTGACCAATGAGACTGGAGGAGTCCAACATCACCTGCCAATCAGCATGCGGTTCAATGATGGACACAGATTGAGTATAGCTGTGTACAGTGTACTCATGGTGTTTTCCGCCGTTGCTAACATAACCGTTTTGGTGCTGTTGGCTAAAAGAAGAAAGCAATCGCCGAGTAAGATCAACACGATGTTGATGCATCTGGCGATAGCGGACTTACTGGTGAGTATCTTTTCTGTCAACAGTTGTTCATACTGAGCTACCGCACTGGGTTTTGTCGTCAAATTGATTACATTGCGATGTCTCCTAAAGCTTACTGTCTGAATACAAAGTTTCTCTGAGACTGTCACAGTGTTGTAATAACGTACGTCCTAGAAGTTTTGGCACAAAATTCATTGGCTCTAATATTTAAAACACAAAATAACATCTAGTTCCGTTTGGAAACAAAGGTTTAATTGCTTACTTTTCTGTCAATTGACATTTATTTATTTCAAAGTTTTCGCTTTAAGATGTATAAATTATAAATGAGTATCTACAAGTTGGTTGGGATGGTACCCGAATCTGAAATCTGTCGAATATTCCAAAATGAAAACATTTAACGCTGAAGTATTTAGCGAACAATAGCGGAGTGCGAGCAGGGTATGCCAGGTCTGAATCTCATAAAAAGTGGATGACCATGTGTATTTACTGTGCGAAGGTCAGAGAGATTGGTCAGAAGAGCAAAAATCAGGTTGGAATGTCAACAAGAAGACTGGCTCGTCAATGCAGCTACTGTAAGAGTACGATATCGTTGGAATTGAGGAGCATGGTCTTAATATCAAAAGAGACTTGAGCGCTCCAAATACTTCCAAGGGCCAATGAAAAAATCATTATTTTAGATGACGTAGTAGTATTACACACACACAAAGTATTACACTTTGAGTAATTCTGAAATGAAGGGAAACGACTGATTTTAAACGGACAACGCAGAGAAATGCCCTGACAATGTTAGAAATTTGCAGATCTGGTTCGCAATTTCTAACAGGGGTGTATCCCAACCTTTTGTGGGAAGAGTGAGGGGTGAAGCTTTGAATAGACAGAGCTATATTGATAACTGCAGTTCCAAATTGCTTCAGTTTGTCTACGAACATCATGCTAATGACCTTATCATGTTTTGGCCAGACCTAGCATCATGACATTACTCAAGAGATACCCAAAGCTGCTTTGCCAACACAACATACATTTTGTTCCTAAAACGATAATCCTGTAAACTTGCCGCAGGCTCCCCCAATAGAAGATTTTTGGGATTTACTGTCTAGGAAGGTTTATCATGGAGGCTGAGAAGTCCAAAATAAAGAACAATTAAGACGGGAAATTGAACTGAATTCCGTCCAGGACCTCATGAGAGACATCCAAAGAAAGTTGTGTCTGGTAGAGCAGAATGGGCTTTTCCACACAATTCGATAGTATAGTTTAGTTAAGTGTTGTAAGTTGTAATTTATGATGACTATTTAGTGTTTAAATAAATTTCTTTATTAAAATAAAATCCGATATAATGGGTGTCCCGAAAAAAGTGTGCAATATTCTACCAGCGGTTACTAGAGCTTAAAATAGGAAGAAAAGTTTATATAAACATAAGTCGACAAGGGCCTTTTAAAGGGGCTCCCTGAAGATGGTTTTTCCTTAATTTTTCCGAAACGGGTTGAGGTAAAGACATAAAATTTGGTATTCTAGCCTAGCTTTTTATGCTGGATTGAAAAATATTAACAATTTAGACAGTTTGTTTGGAAGAGTGTGTAACAGGTACAAACTCAGGTTATTTTAGCCCCAAAATTTTTGTGTGATTCTATTTTTGAAATTAAATTTTAGAATTTGGAAATTTAGGATTCTCTACATAAAAGGTACTCTTCTTGAATATCAATAAATTGTGCCATTGTTGAATAAAATCAAACTAAAAAATTTGTCACATGATAGGAAATGTACTGCGAATTTAAATGAATTCTTGAATAATTAGCCATGGCAACGAAAAAACTAATTTAATAATTGGTAAATATTACATAAATACATATTTCAATTGCAACATAGCTATGATTTAAGCAAAAACAAAAGAAATAAATTTTTTCTACGAATGAAATTGAAATTTGTTTAAAAAAGAAGACATACAGTTGGATATACTTAAAACTAGCTTTACAATAAGTATTCAAATAAATTCCCATTTTGTTGGATGCAGAGTCCCGCTCGACAAGCTAATGATTGCGTATCCCGAAAAGTGGAAAACTTTTTTCTTCTTATTTCATTTGCAACCTGATGGATTCTTTGAAGTAAATCTTCTTGAGTATTTACTTTAGTCGAGTAAACTAGAAAAATAGAAATCCAATGGATTTAGGTCAGGTGAACGTAGCGGCCACACTATAGGACCTCCTCGGCCTGACCACCTGTCTGAAAAATTGACATTCAACTATTTCGAACATTGCGTCCAAAATGTGCAGGAGCGCCACCATGTTGAAAAAACATATTTTCTTGAAACTGCTGGTGCACATCCAATGGTATTATATCCATGAGCTCATTCTGAAGAAAGTTCAGATACACCTCTGAATTAAGACGATTGGGAAGTACAATAGGCCCAATTACTTGATCCCCAATTACTCCTGCCCATAAGTTCAATGAAAATCTATGTGGAAATTTGTACAGCGTACAACTTTTGGATTGTCATCGGACCAGTGATGAATGTTATGGAAATTAAAAGCACCATTCCTAGTAAATATGACTCATCCGATTATAATATTCTAGGAATAGTGTTTCATTGCTAATATCCACTGGCAAAACTCGATTCGTGGTAAAAAGTCTTCCTGTCCTTCCTATCTAAAATTATTATTTTAGGATAACTATCAAATAGGTATTCATACATTTTCTTACTATTGATCGAGGTGTATCCATAATTTCTGAAACATTTCGTATACTTATGTGCGAATTATTTTCAAACATATTTAAAGCAATGTCCATACGATGATTTCCCAGTGACCTTCCTGAGCCCTGCATGGGCTGAAAACTTCCATGTTTTGACAAATTCCGGTGAATATCAGTAAACATTCGACGTCCAGGTTACTATGCGGTTGGGAAATCTTCTTTGGTATTCTCTTACGGCTGCCAATGAACTGCCATTGCAAAACCCGTACACAAAATGCATGTCAATCATTTTAAATCGATTTAATAAAAATTTTGATTTTAATCTAGTAATTTTTACACTGTTAACAATGTCAGCTTAACGTCAAAATAAGTCATAACAAATCAAAACAACTTTTTTTGCAGTCATGGCTAACTATGTATAATCAACAATTCATTTAAATTCGCAGTACATTCCTACCATGTGACACATTTTTAGTTTGATTTTATTCAAAAATGGCACAATTTATCGATATAATAATAATTCATTATCATAACAACAGACTAGTTTTTGAGAGGTTTTCTTTCAATTTAATTGACTTGACAAGCTTAGCATCTATAATCAGTCATATTGGTTCCAATGCATCTGGTAATGACGGAGTTACGTTGCGAATGTTAAAATTATGCTATCCCGCTATAAATCTTTATTTGTTGCATATTATCAATCTATGCTTAGAGAGAGGCTATTTTCCAAGCGCGTGGAAAACAGCAATGGTAAAACCACTCGCTAAAACCTCGAATCCTTTGTCATTTGACGACCTACGACCGATAAGTCTTTTGCCTCTTCTATCCAAAATACTGGAACGCGCAGCTTATATCCAGATTTACGAGTACTTAGACAAAAATAATATAAAGTGTTCATCAATCGGGTTTTAAAAAAAATCATAGCACTACTACGGCTTTAGTGGACTTGATCGATGGCATAATTCCGCGCTTGACAATAAAACTTGTGCTCTTGTCCTTTTAGATTTCTCGAAGGCATTTGATACACTGAATCACAAACTGCTTGTAGCCAAATGTCATTACTATGGCTTTGATGATCTTGCTTGTAAGCTCATCAAGTCATATTAAGTGATCGGTCGCAAGTGGCTGTGATTGATGGTCAGATGTCTTTGCCAAATAAAGTTCAGTTCGGAGTACCTCAAGGCTCCGTATTAAGCTCCATTGCTTTTTTGTTATACACCGCGGATCTTCAAGATACTGTCAAGCACTGTCATGTGCAATTCTTTGCCGATGACACTAAGGTAAAGTATGATTTTCCAGCCTCACGCTACTCTGAAGCCCAAGACCAAATCAATGAAGATTTGTCAAGTATTAGCCGCTATTGCAAGTTACATAACCTCAAGCTCAACCCATCGAAGTGTAAAGCTTTGCTATTTGGTAATATCAAAATAAGAGCAAATCTTATAAGCAAAATTGACGTTCAAATTGAAGGAAAAATCATCCGTTATTCAGAATGTGCCAAAAGTTTGGGCTACATTTAGATGAAGACTGAGGTTTGAAAAACACTTACAGCACGTTTTGAGGACAATGTTACGGTTCGCTCCGGCTTCTATTGCAAACAATTGCATCACTGGTAAGCAATTGAAAAAACAGCTATGTGAAAGCTTGGTATTGTCTAAGATTTCGTATGGGCTAATAATTTATTACCCCTGCCTAACTGCTGCGAATAAAAGACGTCTACAGATAATGCAAAATACTTGTAGTAGGTACATAAATAATTTGAGGAAATTTGATCATATATCGCATACGTATTCTGACCTCAATTGGTTAACTATAGATAATCTATACAAATATTCTGTTATAAGTTCTGTTCATCGTATTTTACTATCCGCATCACCCCCATACCTGTTTGAAAAATTTATTACCAGATCCAGCACGCATAATATTAACACAAGGCATCAGGCTTTCTTTATACTGCCAGTCCACCGTACTGTTTTATATTCAAGAACTTTTATTTACAATGCCGTTAAATATACAACAAGTATTAATTTTCATTTTAAAATATTGTGAATATTAAAACCTTTAAATTAAAATTGAAGTCCGATCTTCTCTCGCAAACATGAATTGCCACTTATATTTATTGGTTATGATGGTTGATTTTTTAAAAAAACACCCTTTGATCACAGTTTTGTTGGTTTAAAACAAACCGATTTAAATGTATGTACCATAGTTAATGTCATCCATTTCTATGTAATTTCGTATAAATTAATCAAAATGGGGTTAGGTGGAGAATAGCTCACGCTAAACCTCGCCCCTCGTAATGTACTAAATGTTTAGTGCAATAAGACCCTTTATATTATTATTATTATTATTATATTCAATAAGAGTACCTTTTATGTAGAAAACCCTAAATTTTAAAATTCTAAGATTGAATTTTAAAAATAGAATCAACAAAAATGTTGGGGCTAAAATACCTCAGTCCGTCCCTGTTACATACGCTTCCAAACAATACTGTCTAAATTGTTAATATTTTTAAATCCGGCATAAAAAACTAGGCTAGAAATACCAAATTTTATGTCTTTATCTCAATACGTTTCGGAAATATTAAGGAAAAACCATCTTCAGAGGAGCCCTTTAAAAGACCGTAGCGCCCTTAGGGGACGTTTGTCGACCTATGTTTATATAACTTTTCTTCCTATTTGAAGCTCCAGAAACCGCTGGTAGAATATTGCATACTTTTTTCGGGACAACACTGTATATTTTGCGCCAAAACTTTTACGACATACGTTATCAGAATCAGCTTCCTGGAGTTGTCAGGCTGACAGATGGAATGTCTCACTAGCATAAGTAAGGTATGGTACGTGAGTTTTGAGAAAAAATGTAATAGGCCTAATCAACAAAATATCCAAATTGTATTAAAATATTAATGGCGATTTTTAATTATACATCTTCTGGTAACGTCCTCAATAGCACGCATTTTGTTTATATTTGTCTCATCTGCCGTTTCCGAATTTTTACAAAAATGCGATCCACGCAATTGTTCATTTTTAGCTTCCCATCCGTTGACATAAGCTTTCAATACATTAACGGCCGAAATCATTAGGTATTGTGGTACATTTAGGGGCTTATCGTCTCTTGATACATAATTAACGTTACTCTGTTCCAAACGTAGCTCTCCTGGCGGAATGACACGAATAAATGTTGGGCCAAAATGATATATTGTCGTTCTGGTTATGGTTGTTAATAAAGTTAGACATTGCTGGTAAGCATGTTTGGGTATAAATCTCGACGTCCACAACTTCTCCTCGAACTCGCCCGATTTGTGGCGCTGAAACCAAAGCCTCAGAAATCGTGCAAAGACCAGAACCTTGTGAGCTTTCACCTGTGTTTTTAAATTTAACTTCATTTTTTCATCATCCATTATAATCACACGGTTTTCCAGGTTTTCTTTCGAGTTATGCTTGAGTGTTTTATTTAACTTCCTTTTTATTTCGGAAATGCACGTCAGTTCTGAACAAAGCCATCAGCTCGGTTTTTGTACGATACCGTCAAGCGGCAACCTAGCTATCGATAACACATTTCAGTATTGAGCACTTTATACCAATTTATTAATTCTTTTTGTAATGTCTTCCAGTTTTCAGCGAATAAATGCAAGCTGTATCTTCGTCACAGTGTCATGTTGCGCTACAACTGGTTGCCTAGCTCTGATCTCTGAACAAGTTCATAACTTCAGTTTTCTGTAACCGTTCAACTAAGCTGTAGATATTCTTGCGAATTTCATATTTGAGCTACATTTGAACATGATTATTGAAACAAGTCGTCGTTTATCATGACACGACTCGTTACCTGCTTCACAGTACCTAGAACAGACACAACAATCGGATTAAAACTTGTTCTAGATGTTATTAATTACTATTCTTGAATTGAAATTTTAATAATTTAAGTATCAATTGATGTCAAGGTTTCAAGCGACTAGCCTTCTTGTTTAAAAGCGTTGTCCAAAAATTTGGAATTTGTGTATGTGTAAAAGAAAATTAATTATTTTTTGCAATTTGTGGTTTCTCATTGGAGAGGTTGAACTATGGCATATAAGAATGGAACACAATATCACTCAAATGACTGGAAGGTTGGACCGACAGCACCTCTTCCCATTAACCCAATTTTCATGTATTTTTTGATTATATGGGCTTGAGTTGTTTATTTTTGACAACGGAATCGTGTAGAGATCAAAGTGAATTTTCATACATGAGGCTTAACGCTTATAAGTCACTATGACCTACTGTAACTCTGAAGAGTAGACCCAAAAAACTTTGCAAAAACTCTCCTTCTTGAAATTAGAGTCCAACGAATGTTTCAGAAATTAAAAAAACAACTTATGTTTAACAAAAAATATGACCTTATTGTATACTTAAGCCACCATGAAGGCCTAAGGCGAATCTGAGGCATATGGATAAAGATAACATCCAGAGCCAAGAGAAAAATTCTCTTGGGACGCAATTCAAACTCGCCCAGCTGACAACGGCCAAATTCGATTATACTTTGACAGCAATATTATAGAAGAATGTACACCTATAATTCTGCCGTGAAAATAGTGGTTGCTTGTTGCAATTACAAACTCGACCTCCAACATGACTTCTTAAGTCAGGGCTTTTTTGATTTCCTGAAACTATGTTTCATCAACCCTTTTTCAGAAAAAAGCATGGTTGTCGTGTTCTTTTCAGACGTAAATCATAAATACAGGTGATAAGCTTGATTTAGAACAGAATGAGGTTTATGAAAATGGGGTGACAGCCTCCTAAATCAACCCTTAAATGAAAACATTTTCAGCTACGTCTTTTATGCTAAGAAATTGCTTAAAAGTTTAGCGTTGAAACATTATACCAATTGTAACCTTGAAATGCAGCCTGACCTTGACCAAGGTGAAAACAAAGCAAGTTTTGTACAATACCCAGGTGAGACGTAGCCCCGAGTACTACTTACTTGTTACTGTTCAGAGGGGGCTGTTGAACTGATCTATGGACAGTCCCGGGACCCTTTGCACCAACGAGCAGTCGGAGATCTTTGTATAGTTTTGTATAATGCCCAGAGGAGACCCAGCCCTGAGTACTACATGTTTGGGGTGCTGGCACCCCGACTATATTGCCCATACTCGATGCTGTTCAGAGAGGAGCTGTTGAACTGATCTATTGACAGTCTAGAAACTCTTTTCCACCAACGAGCAGTCGGAGATCTTGCTCTCTTCTTCATCCTATGTCAACAGCTCTCTTCCAAGATGCCCGCGCATTGTACCCACCAGACGGACCCTCCAGGCTTTCTGCTTCCTAACCCAACTAGTTCGAACTTCGTACATCGAGAACTGGCCTGTACGAGCGCTTCTTTGTTCCTAGGGTATCGAAGTGGAACAACTGCTTAAGGTCACTTTTGCCAGTTCTGCTAACCGTAGATGGTTCAAAAATTGGATTAACTAGGTGCCTTTAAGTTCCTTATAGCAGTCGGTACCTCGGTATTTAGGTTCTGCTTGCCAGACTGCTCCAGTATGTTTAAAAAAATGCTGGTGAACGACCAGTTGACCTAATATTCAAAATGCAACCTAATGTAAAATCTCAACTCCTATACGAAGCCGCAATCAAAATGGTGGTCGCTATTTGAATTTCAAATCTAGCTCTGACATCGTCATCTAGATCATACCGAGGTCATCGACAAACTGCCTATTTGATAACCTAGAACTTTGCTTGAGCTTTTTCGATGTTCGGTGAAATATGAAAGTAGTTACTAACTTGTTATCAAAATCATTATCTGTTTAATTGAAACTTGTTTCAACTGTTAAATGACGTCGTGGTATCGTTCAATACCTAATTAGTACACATTCACTTTAATTAAGCGCTATTGCGCTCCTGCAAAGCTGATAGTTTGTAGGTACGCCTCCATCAAGAAGCTCCTAATTGGTTCTATTATGCTTACAATTATGTACCCGTATTTTAGGCTACTGTCTTCAGAAAATCGATCATGATACCTCTTTGGAACTTTACCACTAAAAGCATAATCTGGCACAAGCATTCTGAAACTGTACCAGTTTGTTTCACAAATGCTCAAATTGTAAAGCTACACTTTCGATTGGACTTTATTTAAAGGCTACACTTTTGATGTTAACCGAACTGGCATTCAGATATAATTTGAATGATTGAAGTGAAAGTCCATTTTCAAATTGGATATTTTGCATTTTTCCAGGTGACTTTCCTGATGATGCCTCGAAATAGCGTGGGCATCGACTGTCCAATGGAAGGCTGGAGACATCATGTGCCGGATCATGATGTTCTTCAGGACTTTCGGACTATATCTCTCTAGTTTCGTCCTTGTATGTATAAGTGTTGACAGGTAAGATATAACACAAGTAGAATTTAAAGGTTGCATCCAGACTGAAGACATACATTTTATGGAAAATAATGTCAAGTAGATTGATTCTATTAGTCTCCACTTTTATAAAACGTTCAAGGTCAACATTTGGAAATATAGAGCCGTAGAGACTCATTTGAGCACAATTTGAAAGATCTTCATACCATTTGAAGATAAATGTTTTTTAAATCTCATAGTTTGCAAATAATTTCAGATTTTACGCTGTTCTAAAACCCTTACATTTGGCAGCTATAGATAGACGAGAGAAAATGTTGCTGATGAGTGCATGGATAGGGGCAGTGCTATGCAGTGCACCACAGGTAACCTAACAAATTATCTCTCAATTTCACACTCCATGAACTCTGTGAAATCGCAAACCCACTAGATGCCAAAAAACCATAACACAGAAAATACATCGTCGGTCATAGGTTCGGCCTTTGCTGAAGGTCAAAATGTACCCACGACAAATTTTTTGGATATAGGCCAGTGAATTTGAAATTTAGTTGAAACACTTTTCAAAAAGTACTATTGAATCTTATCATATTATGAATATGGGCTACTCGTAGTCTATTTTGGTTTGCTGAAATAGAGAAAATAGTCTTTACTACCAGTACTGCAGGACAAATATGCGATGAGAAGTTTTTTTTATTGTAACACGTTTTCTGTCCCTACCCTACCAGAACTAAACATTAAAAAACTAAAATTGAAATTTTGGAATAGCAAACAATTGTTTCCTTTTCTTATTTCGGTCAAACTATTTATTTACAGT